TTTGTTGACCCATTTTGGTGGCGCAATTTCAAAAGGTGTTGTTGGATTGAGAGTGTGAATGTCTAGTATTACATATGGAAATAGACTGTGGCCAGACTCCATAGCCAGAGAGCTGGCTTTTTAACCACAACTTTGGCAGATCTGGTTTCTCCCTGTGCACAAGTGCCAAGACATGGCAATAGACTCGTGTGCTTTTTAATGTTCTTTCCTGTGATTATGTGTCTTGCAAAAAATGGAAAGTGGTGGAGGTAAAGCCATTCTTATAACCGCCATACATGGAAAGGCCACCACATCTGTGCATGAGTGCCTTTTGGATACGTGTTGTGGAAAGCAATGAGCCAGGTAAAACAGGCTTTCACTGTTTCATTGTGAGCCTTCACTTTTCCAAAGCAAAAAACTTTTGAACATTAGTTGGGAATCGCAATAGGGTGTTGTTTCGCCTTTTTCTAGAATAGCACTGCCAAGACAACTTTCTGATGGATGGAAATGTTCTATATCTGTGCTGTCCAAGAGAGTAGCCAATAGCCACATGTGGCTATTATTGAACTCTTGAAATGTGTGAGTATGACTGAGAAACTGCAATTATAAGTTAAGTTTAAGTATAAATAGTCACATGTGGCTAGTGAGCAGCACCATCCTAGAATGAAACTGAGATGCCCAGGGTTGCCAAGGAAGCACCAAATGCTAGCTGCCTAGAGGGGGGTTGGGATGTTGTTAACCAGAGGGTTTGACTCCACTGTGAGCTCCTCTTCTGTACCTTGGGTAGTTTTTGCTGCTCACTTTTCCTTTCTGTAAGCAATGAGACTTGTGTATAGATGATTTATAAAACACCTTTGTCAGTTGAAAGCACTGTGTTCTCAGATTGAACCCTTGGCAGGTTTAGAGGAGACAGAGCTCAGATCCTCCCTTTGTTTCCCTCCCAGACCGTGACATATATCAATGCTAAGGGGGTACAGCATTACAACACAGAAAGTTTTGAATTGTTACTTAAGTTTGTCTCACATTAGACTGTCTTTGAGGAGGGTGCCACTGCTCTCTGCACCCTTGCTTCCTCTGTCTTGTCCTCTAGTTTGCAGTTCCAGAGTGTGAACAGCAGAGCGGCATACAGATGGAGCAGAGGGTGTTGGTGTGGAATTCACACAGTGGGGTTTCACTTACGCAAGTGCTCAAAGCACTCATGAGAGGTAAGAATTAGCTATTTCTCTGGTTTGATTTAGTTATTTCAGTGAAAAGTTAAAGTGTAAATTCTTTCAACAAATAAATTGATGTGCTCAGGGTGAGTGAAGGAAAGAGGTAAACCAAGGATACTGAGAGAGGGTCAGAACTAATGGCACAAACTTCTCTCCTTAGGCCAATGACCTCATTTGAGATAACACTTCTCAGGCACTTGACACAGCAGTGCTGATTATTTCAAATATATGTGTGTGTGTATATAATTTATACAAATTAAAACATATAATCTGTCTCAATAAAATCAATACCAAGATTGTTATTTATCATTCATTCAGAATACATTGAACAGCCCCTATGCAGAGTACTGGGGCTACTTGAGAAAACTAAGATAAAATATGATCTGAATCATTGCAAAGCTCTTGATCTAGTGGGTAAGTAATATGCATAAACCACTTCTGGTGTTAGACTGAATGGGTTCAAGTCCTGCTCCACCATTTTCCAGTTGTATAAATAGGGGCAAATGCCTCTTGTCTGAGAGAAAATTAAGTCTCAATGTTCTCATTGCAAGGGGCTTGTAATAGTATCTGCCTCCCTCATAAAGACACTATTCAGATTAAAAGAAATGTTTTTATAGCCCTTAGTCTATCCTCATATACAGAGTGCTCAACCATGTGCTAGCTTATTTTTAAACTCATAATTTATTTTTATACAGTTTTTAAGGTAAAATTTACATTAATTGAAGTGTTAACTGTATATTTTTGATGTAATGAATACACCTGTGTAACTCACACCTCTAAGAAACTATAGAACATTTTTATCACCCAGAAGTTTCTCTCATGTACCTTCCCAGTGGTACAGCATAACAGTGAGAGACAGTAACATTGATTAGATTAGTTTTCCACTACAGATTAGTTTAGCCTTTTCCAGAATTTCAAATAAATAGAATCATATAGTATGCATTCTTTTGTGTCATTTATTTTTGAATAGGTAATATAGTCACATGTTTGAAACCGAAAATGTATAAAAGGACAGGCCATCAAAAGTCTCTTTCCCAACCATTCCCCACCATCCAATCTCCCTCCCTTAAAGCAACCAGTGTTATTAGTTTCATGTGGGCCCATCCCTTAGCTATCATTATTAACTCAGGGATTTATACAAGGTGCTTTGAAAACTCAGTTTTAAAGATTATCCAGAGAACCTTGTGACAGACCAGCTAAAACAGTATAATATCAGTTTAAAAATAACTGGAGTTCTTTTAGACTCTGATTCCAAAGGTCAGATTGTGACATTTTTTTTCTATGATTTAGGTAACCTTTAAGCCACATCTACTTTAAGTTCTAGAATTCTATGATTCATTGACTAAACAAATATGTATTGAACAAATATGGAAATACAACCATGAGCCAAAGAAAGCCATGTTCATGGCCTTATAGATGTAAAAGTTTATAAGGGTGAAACAAAAATGCACCAGAATAATCATATAATTATGGTTTCAGTGCAGCATGATAAGAAAGGACCAAGGTAGGGAGGTCTGAAGATATTCCTCAGAAGAAGGGACTAGGGCTGGGGTCAGAAGGATGAGCCCTTTCATCCACTGAGCAAAACATATGCAAAAACTCTGTGGAGGGAGGAAGCTTTGGGGAATTGGGAGACATCAATGTGGCTGGAACAGAGACAGTGTGGCAGGATGGGATATGGAATGAGTAGTGAGAAGATGTGGAGAGGTGAGTCCAACCTGACCCTGCAGAACTTGGTTTAGCTAAGAGGTTTTGTCTAAGAGAATCAGAAGCTATCGAAGTGATTTACCTGGGAAGTAAATCACCTCGGAAGGATCTCATGGCTTTTTGTGTGAAGAATTAGAGAGGGGCTAGAGGGCATGTAGGTTAACCAATTAGAAGACTAGGTTAGTAGCCCTCTAGGTCCTCCTCCCCCAGGCAAAGGTAGCTTTGATTAGGGTGGTTGATGGGATGAGAAAGAACAGGACTGATGAAGGAAAATTTCGGAGGTAAAATTGACAGGATTTGCTGATAAGTGGAATATAGAAAGGAAAGGCAGATTGTCAGGATGTCACCTTTTTTAAAATTTCAAAATATAATTTTTATTTGGTATAATCTTCATTTTTTTAACTGAGACTTTGTTATTCCTATCATGTTAAAAATACTGTATTTTTCTTTTTATGAAGATGCCATAACAGTAGGTACAATTTTATTTTGTGTAATTTATTTATTTATTTTTATTAAGGTATCATTGATACACACTCCTATGAAGGTTTTACAAGAAAAACAATGTGATTATTACATTCACCCTTGTTATCGAGTCCCCCCCCCAACCCCATTGCAGTCACTGTCCATCAGTGTGGTAAGATGCCACGGAGTCCCTATTTGTCTTCTCTGAGCTACACTGTCTTCCCCGTGACCCCACACACACCATGTGCACCAATCATGATACCCCACAATCCCCTTCTGCCTCCCTCCCCACCCGCCTTCCCCAACCCCTCCGCTTTGGTAACCACTAGTCCCTTTTTGGAGTCTGTGAGTCTGCTACTATTTTGTTCCTTCAGTTTTGCTTTGTTGTTATACTCCACAAATGAGGGAAATCATTTGGCACTTGTCTTTCTCTGCCTGGCTTATTTCACTGAGCATAATATCCTCCAGCTCCATCCCTGTTGATGCAAATGGTAGGCTTTGTTTCTTCCTTATGGCTGAATAGTATTCCATTGTGTATACCACCTCTTCTTTATCCATTCATCTACTGATGGACACTTAGGTTGCTTCCATATCTTGGCTACTGTAAATAGTGCTGTGATAAACATAGGAGTGCATATGTCTTTTTGAATCTGAAGTTGTTTTCTTTGGCTAAATTCCTAGGAGTCACCTCAAGATGGATTTAGTTGCAATGAAATTTATTGAAATTGACTTTAACTAATAACAAGACCTAAAACTATGCAAAATTTTGCCTTATAAAATTTTCAAGTTTTCAAAGTTTTTAGCTGGCTGGAGAGCTGGTTTTACTTCCTATTTTTTGGTATTTCCTAATCCTGTAAAAAAAATGAGTTTTTTCCCCCCCGGAATGCTTATTACAGAGGAACTCTTTCTGTAGAGTATAATCTTAGGTAAGCAAATAACCAGAGATATCTAACTTCTAGGCAAGGAATTTTGGAGTTTTTTGTGCTGATGATTACTGTCATTTTGTCAGACGTAAACTTCTAAATGTATAATGAAAGCAATTTATATTGTCTTTATTATTTTTCTTGCCTGCTTTTCCTGGGATCAGGAATCAGTAGGTTCTTCCTGTCCCAGACTAAGTACTTTCCTTCTAAGAATTTCTTCGTTGATACAGGATGGCTGCCGGCTAGACCTCATGTATTTATGCCCGTGTTCTGCCCCCTTCCGGCCTCTGCCTGAACCCGGTTCGCCGAGACGACCGGTGGTAGAATGATCTGAAATCACCAGTGCATTTACACATTAATTACTGTTTCCGAGAGTGGCCCAGGTCACCTTCCGGCGGAGTTCGGCCGGCCTTTGGAAGCCCGCGCGTATGTAGCGCAGGTCCACGGCCGGGGAGAACCGCGCGAGGGCGGTGCGGCAGCGCGAGGCCCGCAGGCTGGGCGCGGGGTGGCCCCGGGCTCCCGAGTGGGTGTGTCTTGTGTTGCTCTTACATGCAAGAGGCGGGTCGCGACACTGGGAAGTCAGCAATTTGTAGGGCGGAGGGCTACTGCTTTGAAAGGGAGGCAGAGGAGGGAGCGGGATTTCCCCGCCCCCGTTTCCCGCGGTCCAATCCTTTCGGCTTCTCCTCTCCTCGGCCGGCCGGCCCGGCCCCTAACCAGCTCAAACCCATTATGCGGTAGCGGCGGCCGGGTCTCTTTAAGGCCCTGCTGCGCCTGCGCCTTGGGCTCTCCTGACGCGGCCCGGCCGGACCAGGACTGGTGAGCGGACTGGCGGGGGTCAGTTAGTGAACGAAGCGGCGGGCCCCGAGCTGTGGGTCCAGACCAGAGGCGGCCTTGGGCTCCGGAGGGAGCGCGGCGCTGGAGAGGAGCCGAGACGCGGCGGCGAGGCTGCCGGCTGGATGGGAAGTTGATGTTTACGGCGGAGTCCGCCCAACGTTTCCAAGGTGAGGGGCGCCGCGCCGGGCGGGCGGGCCGTGAGCCCGAGTTCCATGGGGCGCACGGCGGCGCCGAGGCGCGGCAAGAAGGGGCTGCCGCCAAAGTTGCGGCGCGAGCCGGGCCTACGCGCCCTACCGCAGCCGTGGCCCGGGACCCTCCGGGTGCTGGGGAAGAAACTCGCCAGGTGGCTTCCAGTGAGTCCTAGAGAAGAGGAGGGACGCGGCGGCTTCGGGAGCACTTCCTCGGACATCCTGAGGGCCATACTGACCCTTCTCCTTGCCCTCAAGGCCCGACGTCTCCTCTCTGGGCGACCTGAAGGGGCAGGACCGCCCGCGCCCCTTTCTTGCAAAGTTGGCGTCTTTATTTAGCCTCCGGGATTCTGGGCAAGGCCGTGTCTCTAGGCAGGTGATGGGGCAGCCAAGTGTGCTAGGTGACTCCTTAGGATGCACTTGGGGAGCGTTTGTAGCCGCCAGTGAATCACCTTATGACTAGCGGGGCAAGCCTCAAATTAACCGCAGAATTTCCGGTAGGTTGGATTGTGGTGGTGGTATTTGCTATAGAGTTGATGTGATTTCTTTGTGTCTTTTCGTTCTGTCTCTTCGGCGTCTTAGATCAACTCAGTTGGCATCATTTCACCGAAGAGTTAACCGAAACTTCTGGAATTGTTTCTTCCCATATACTCCTGTCTATTGCTCTTAGAGGTGGCTGTGAAAGCGTTTTTTTGCAAAGATATCTTTTCTTTCTGTTATCAGTCTAGAATAATAAACCCCTTTCTTTGCTGACAGAAAGAAATCCAGTGCTTCTTAGAGATGAAGAAAATTATATGATGGTGGTTTTTACGTTTGTTCTGGGCGCTATGTACTAGTAGCTTTTTTTGTTTAATTTTATTAGTCAACTTTCTTCCATTACCTTTTTTTCTAAAATGCTATTCTTAAAGCCTCTGAGAACTTTGTGTTAAAGAAATCTTAGGAAACTTAACTGAAGTATAATATACAGAAAATGTGCACAATCCTAAGTATGCAGGTAAAGAATTTTTGTAAAGTGTACACTAAAAGCTGATTTGAAGCCCTGAGCATGTGGGGGGGTGGCTATTGATTTATAGTTTTACTCTGTGATCTAGTGTCTAAAACAGTGGTTCTCAATTTCGGCTACACATTAGAATCACATGGGGAGCTTTATATACATGCTGCTGCTAGGCCAAATGTATCAGAATCTCTGAGGGTAGATCCCAGGTAGCAACATTTAAACAAAATTTTTGTGTGATTGCATACAATAAGGTACACAGATCTTAAGGGTATAGCTTGGTTTTGCTGTGTATATACCTGTGTAACTAACACAAGGTACAGAGTATTGTGAAAACCCTAGAAAATTCCTTCGTATGCCTTTCTTTTACTTATTCTCTCTCTGCCCAGGGTCAACCACTGTTCTGATTTATTTTCCTACAGAGTAGCATCAGTATTTTCTAAAGCTGCCCAGGTGATTCCATTGTGCCTATCCAGTAAGCGGCCAAGATTGAAAACATTCGTTTGGGTGGACTGTTTGAGGTTATCTCTGCCGTCTCTGTCTTTCCTTTTGGCCTGGTCAGATTTTCCAGAGTATCTTCCAGTTTTCTGCTTGGGGGGCAGAAGTCTGGTTGCCAGTGTTCTGGGGACTCAGGAAAGAGGTCTGGGTAATGAGCCATAGAGCATTACATAGGGTCACATAATCAGCCTCTTTTTATTATTATACCTGTCTTTTCCATCATGTATGGGTTACCCTCTTGAGAGAATAAATCTCTAGTCAGCTGCCATCTTGAGGGTCGGCCACTCAGCAGTTTGGAGGAGGAATGGGGTCTAGGTTGCTAATTGTTCAAATAGCTTTTACCTGATCCTTTCTTACATTAGTCTCCCCTCCCTCTCTTTGTTCTGGAAGTTCGAGACTTTTCCAGGATTTTGTAGTCTTAGTAGGGTTAGTTCTTAGCTGTCAGAGCACCTGGTTTGTAATTTGGCTGTCTTTAACAAAGTCAGTTACTTCTCAGCCATCGTCCAAAATCTTCTCTTGTCTCTTCCATTCTCCCTGCCCTTATCACTTTGTGTTCTAAAAGCAGAACAAAACATCATTTTCTTTATCCTTGCGTTAGTAGAGTTTTGGGAGGAAGCAAAATCAGATGTGTTCAATCTGCCATCTTAACCTGAAAGCCCATCATCTGTTTTCTGTTTTGCAAAAGTGCGTTGCCATCTGTTATTCAGTGATGTCTCCAATTTGTAGGGTTATGTCTTTAAAATTTCTTCACTGTTATCTAAATAGAGTGTCAGGAAGGCAGAGCACCTAAATATTGAGTCAAACTGTCATTTATGTAGAAGTCCAAAACTACTTTAGAGATGTACTAATTGTTCCAGAATTTTATAATCTCAGGATTGGAAATGATTGTAAAGATAAGCCAGTGTAATAAATTCTTTGGTATGTTCTGTAGTGGGAAACTTGTGGTAAAGGTATATTATTGACTTGGGAAATGGATTGGACTGTGGATCTCTGCAAAGAAGCTGGAAATCCATATGTGCATTAACCTTTAATTTTGAATGAATAATATATTGTATATTTATTATATATGAAAGTTATTAAAAAGTCATGGTTGGCGTTTCAATCAATAATACTTAAATTCAGCTACAATCATGGGAGAGGTAATACTCAGAATTTATTTTGAAAATATTGTATACCAGAAAAAATGAAAAACTATTGCTAAATTTGGCTTATAGTTAACTTAGAATGATAAATTACTTAAAACTAGTCAATTAAACCATTATATTAACCTCCTCTAATAGCTTTATTATTCCTTGCACTCTTTTTATTTTCTTTAAAACACTAAATGGCAGGTTTCTTAATGCTCTTTGAGACAGTTTTTACCATAGAGTTTGTGATGCAATGAAAATATTCTCAATATAAATTTGTTTTCTTAGGCTAAATTTATACAATTTATTCACCTTTAAATTAATATCTATCCTTTTCTGTTTTAAAATGTCCTTTTTTCATATATTTGTGATGCTAGGTAGTAGATGGGATTTTTTTGGTTATATTCTATAATGTTCTCATTTGACAAAATAAAAAGCTGGCAGCCTATGTTGCTCCTCAAATTAATTTTTGACAAGTTTTATAAAATATAAAAGTCTGCTAATGATTGCACACAATTTTCATTGGCCTTTTCTCTTTTCTACAGATTATTTTACTTTTATGTTTGAATATAAAATTTAGTATATTGATCAAAGAAAGCATTGGCAATTATTACTGTCTGTCTTTGGTGGTGTGATAGTCCTTCCTCACCTGTGGATAGAATTTGTTGCCTGTGGCTCCATTTGTTCATGCTCAGACAGGGTTATCCCATTTCTCATTATTGTGACTTGCCTCGTGTGTTTATTTGTTGTCATTTTTCTAACTATTTATTACTGTTAATGTACTTCAAGAGAGCCTTCCCTGCTTGTGCTGTGTGCAGTGTATAATTGGCCAGACAAAAACAATGTGGGTTTAGTGCTTGGTAATTGTTCTTTGTTCTGACCCAGCTTTCACAGTTGTACTATTGAAAGTGTTCCCTAAAGGTGGTTAAACTGGCTGTCATCTGGGTCTCCATTGTTGATGTTGCTATTCAGTGTCTTGTGAGTTCATGATTAGGGCTCTCTTGGCAACATCTGTTAGCTCCTGTGTTCTTGGAAGGGATCTCTGACAGATAGGAACAGACTGGCTTTATTATGGATCATTGCTCATTTTAGTTTTCATAGAAAGTTGCACTGATACTGAAGTTAGGAATTTTGTCTTACCTTTGAATTGTTCGAATTATCAGTTGCTATCTTTTTGGCCTGGTTCGAATATTTTGCTATGTCAGAAATGAATCCAGTTTCTCATAAATTAAGCTGTTATATTTGTGAAACAGTATTAACAGATACTGCATGAAAGTGTAGCTTTAATGAACAATTACATAATATATTTAAATGAGATACATGAAGAGAGAAAAATTTAGTATCTTAAGGTATACCAGAAATCAGTGTAATTTAGAAGATTAAGCCACAATTTGATGGTGAAAAGACCTTGAGGTAAATTCAGAATGCATTTTAGTGAATAAACCCATGAAAAATATAATGCCTTTGAGTATCTATTTGAAATACATGTAAGATATGAGCACAAAGTTAAGATTTAGGTTGGCTGCCTTTTTGAAAATGTCGAGAGGCTTCCTTTCTACTGCCAGATGAACAAGGTTATAAAGATTGTCAAGCTTGATGGTACATTTACGTTTAACATACACGATCAGAAAAATGAATCAGTAAAGAATCTAGAAATTTAATGAAATTATAAGCATTGTCAGTAAGTAGTTAAGAACCACTAAAGGTAACATATTTAACATCTGTGTGTCAAGCATAATACTAGGTGTTGGGATGATAATAGTGATCTAGCTACATAGACAAAATCCTTGCTCTCACAAAAAACAAGGGGATGTTTAGGGTATATCAAAAACAGTTGATATATTCTTGTTTCTGAGTGTGGTGATAATTTTTTTAAATTACATGATTCATTTGTTTTAAATCTGGAAGCTTTTTATAACTAGTAAGGAAAAACTCTGAAATAAAAGTTTTAAATCAGTATTTGTTTTACAACTTCTTGAGGTAAAATTTACCTATAGTGAATGCACAGCATTTAATTGTACAATCCAGTGAGTTTTGATAATTTATACACCTCTGTGAATCTCTCCCCTCCACCTCCGGTAATCCCTAATGGTTCCTTTAATCAGTTCCTGTTGTTCTGATATCTTTTACTACAGATTAGTTTTTCTTGTTCTTGAACTTCACATACATAGATTTATTCAGTGTGTATTCTCTTTTGTCTGGCTTTTTTTGTTCAATAATGTTTTTGAGATTCATCCATGTTGCTCATATCAATAGCTTTTTATTTTATTTTTATTTTTAAATTTTTTATTAAGGTATTATTGATATACTAGCTTGTTTTTTTAAAATCAGTGTGTAGCAGTCATTGTATAACACAATTT